TTATTTGTATTTTTTTTCTTTAAACATATATTCCTAGAATCATTTATCCAATAGTTGGAGACTCTAGGTGACATGGCTCAGAATCGATCACAATGGCGTCGGCGTATACACTTTCTGTCTTCCCTTAAACTAAGAGATTAAAATCACTTCATATCTTTCTTTCTACGCTATTCTCATTTCAATCTTTTCAAGGTAGTTTTGTAAATTATTCAACATTTTCGTTGCATCATTTGCTGTTTGTTTTGTAATTATACATAGATCATCTCCATATTCAATATGTTTTACTAACCATATTTTCTTTTCTTTATCAACCATTTCTATTCCATCATTTGATCTGTCTATTGTTTCTTTCAAAATCTCTTAGAATAAAAAGTCAACGAGAAGTGACTCCTCTTTACCTCCTTGTCTGACATCTCTACTCATTTTGAAATATGAATTTTTTTCCAATTATGCTCCTTTTTGGCCTCTTGAAAAATCTTTTCACACTCCCTTTTAGGTTTCTTTTAAAAAAAAATAGATATTTAACAATCCCCATAACCCTATACTGACTATTAACATAATGCTGAATTAGAAATAACCATTTATTACTTAGTGAGGAACGAGTTGTCTGAAATGCTAAGTAATGTGGATTTTACAAATGTTTGGGGTGTAAGTTCTACAATATTTGGAATAATTTTGCCATGTAATATAACAAGATTAACCATAATTTACATCAAAAAAGTCTTGATGTAAGTTGGATTTCACATGTAAATTTATAAGGCTGTTTATTTATAGATATATGTGTATTGTCTATGAAAGAGAGAAGAACATGAAAATAGGATATTTTGAAAATGGAAGATTAATATTATAAGTTGCGTAATACTTTTTTTGTAAAAATGATTAACAGAATGAAGCCTAGATAAGAAGTAAACATTCAGGTCGTTGAAAACCATCTGAAACTAAAAAAATATGCAGTAGGTTTTCTGTAGTTCAAGTGTTCGTTATTTACTAGATAGTGTTTATGACCTCCTTTTTACCAGAATCTCAATCGTATTTCCCTATTTCCTGTTTCTTAACTGAACTTCCATTTCCAAAACATTTTTTAAAATGAGCTTTTCAGTTGTTTTTTCTAGGATATTCGTTTATTTAGCCTTTAAATAGATAACTATCTGAACAAATCCCTTAATAACTATTGTCGTTTATTGATATATATATATGTTGAGTTTTGGTGGGCGGCCTATGCTCCTTCATGAGGGGTAACAGGCGTAAGCAAGTAATATGTATATGTCAAATCTAATTTTAATCAGAAAATTTAAAATATAATGTTATAGCAACTCATGTGTGATTTTGTTCACATTTAATTCGATCGAGTCATTTTGTTAACTAATTAACGAACTCAGTCATCCGTACAACAACAACTTATCTATATCATTGTATCTTTATTATTGTTGCGAATGTATGTATATGTATGCTTGAGCATTGCTTACTGCCTATGCATTTATTCACGCTGCTAGCCTTACTACTAACCGCTTAATTGATTCGATGATTCACTATGTATATTATGTCCATGTTATTCATGTTCATTGCTCTCTCTCCCTTACTTAGTTGTACTCGCTTACTCGTACTCATATTCACTGACTCGCTCGCTTGCTTGTCTGCTTGCGTTTCGGCACAACTCTTTCATGCTTGTTTAACGCACGTGTAATTTTGGATATCTTTGTGTGTGATCCCATAATAAACGTAATCAACACTTCGTATTCGCCTTCTGATTAATATACCGTTGGGGACGGTTATCAAGACGAACTGTATACGAAGTCTAAGAATTATATTGAATACCGACCACCACAATGTTTATTTGTTTTGTTTAATAACTTATAATATTACTGTATATAGATTGTAAGGAATTGAAGAGAATCCACGAAAAATAAAAATGAATTTTATAGTATTCTACTATTACCTTTGTTGTTCATGCTTTATCCAAACAGATTATTCTATTCACTTATAGTCTAGAAATAACTATTCGGTTAAAGAATACGAAATATGAATTCTGTGGTCACTAACACATAACCGTATACATTGAAGGATTATTTAATTTTGTGAAATATATCCAAGGGGTGAGAACAACTTGATGGAGAAATTTATTATCAGAAGGGGTTTGTGGAGATTTTAGAAATTTTCACAGATTGAAATCATGAGTCAGTTGAAGCTAGACCACCATGGAAAACCTGGAAGCATTGGACGGCCGTTTTGTCCTAGTATGGGGCTCCTCAGCAGTGTGCATCTCTCACAAACCCCTACTGGTAATAATCATCTGCTCACTAGTGATTGACTTCAAGAGATACTCCTGGAGTTCTAGTGGGAAGCCGTTACCAGTGGAGTTCAACCAGGTCTGTTGTGAGATATCAACTGACTGAAGACAATAGTATACAGTGGCGCAACTTCGTGGATTGCTTGAAGTTTGAAATTAACACCGTTGGATGCCGGCTTAGTGGTCTGATGGTTAAGTACTCGCGCGCGAAGCCAGTAGGTCCTGGATTCGAGTCCCGCTAGGTGCGGGTTCGTGGATACGCACTGCTGAGGAGTCCCATACTAGAACGAAACGGCCGTCCAGTGCTCCCAGGTTTTCCATGGTGGTCTAGCTTCAAATGACTGATGATTTCAATCTGTGAAAATTTAAGATTGTTTATTTTTTATTTGATAGTTCTTATGTTAACATTCAATAAATCAAGTGCGATAATTGTCCCTAAATAAATGCAATCTAGTGAAGTATTATAGAAGAATACATGCAACTTGATAAACACAAAAGAGGAGGATAGAAACATATTTGCTGAGTACGAAAACAACCAAGTATTATTAAAATAATCTTTTGGTTTTAAACATTTTTATTACATAAGTGTCTGATATATCCCGACGAGCATAATGAATGATAACTGTTGGGATCTATTTATGGACTAATACTATACATATATTTCTATCATGTATTTGTTAAGTAACTAAACTATATATATATATTCCTCTTATTATAAGCTTTATTTTGACCTATAGACTATTATTACTATAAGATTTAGTGTTATACCCAGTTTATTAATTTCAGTTTCCCACAATCACGGCCACTTTTGGCTAGATATTATACAAATATTATTTTCTATTTTATGGTGTGATATGGTCTGTTTGGTTCGTATATAAACTCAGTATGTTTGAAATACATGACTGATATCACGGAGGCTGAGATTAACGTTCTGAAATCAACAGGTAGGGCTAGGCAAGAAGAAGGACCCTAAACTGCTCGTACGGGTTAATGAGTCATTGGTCCGGTCGATAAGTCAATATTCTCTAATTGTCAGTATCATTACTTTGTATACTAATAGGGCACAAAGCCACAAGTTATAACAGTTTCTCATAATTTTCCGAACAGCGATTTGTCGTTTATTACAGATCTATAGAAAAGCAGCATTTTTATGACCATATACTGATTCACAAAATTGAATCGCTTAATTATTTTATATATTACTGAGCACAATTTAATTAAATATTCAATAGTTTAACTAATTCTGTGCCAATTTATGAATATCTATTTTAATTCGATTGGATCATAATTTTCGATACATCTGTGAAATCTTCTTTTTAATTTCCGAATGTATATTTAATAAAGAAAAATCCTTTAAAACAGCTTCCCATTTTAAGTATTACATATCGAGAGTTTCATCAAAGATTTTTTAAAAGCACCCTTAAACCAGAGAACCATTCCATGTTTTTCAAACAACTGAACAAATGTTTAACTTAATGATTATGGATATATGTAAGAGATGGTTTATGATTAGCAGTGAAATTTAGAATGTAAGTTTCGTCTTGTTCGGGATGTATCAACTAGATGTATATGCATCATAATGTTAATGCTTTAAACGCCAACAAGTTATCTGCTAACAATATCGACCCTCCAGGCTAACTAAATTTAATGTCTGCCAAGCGCCCAGAGTAAGTGTTAGATATAATTTTATTGCTAGGACGAAAAGATAATCTAATGCTTCCAGATTTTTAGTGACAGTCTTACTAAGATTAATTTAAAATGTGTGAAAATTCTATAATCTCCATAAAACACTAGGCTGATATTATTGTCTGAATCAAAAGCCTACTAATAACGAAAACAATACAAGTAGTAAATTTCTGTTAGTTAATGAATCTTCAAGTAAATATTTTCATTTTATCATATATTTCCCAACAACAACAACAAAAAAAAAAGAAACGATACATGGTTAGTTTATTTGTCAACTTTATTCCAATAATTCGAACAAAAATTTTAAAAAAAAAGATGAATATCCGTGTGCTTCCCTTTCATATTTAATTTGGATTCATTTATTTTTATAGAAATTCTAAAACATAAATAAATAATTTTTGCCAGCACATGATCCCAATGATGATAGATGTATGTTACCATTATTATTATTACTGTTATTCCTATTACTATTATTATTATTGCGACAACATTGATTTTGTTTACTTCATTATATTTAAAACAAATAAAATAATATTTTTATCCACGAAAAGAGAATATTCATCCTCTTTTTTCTAAAAAGATAGAAAAACTTTTGTTTTGTTTATATTTTCATGTAAATAGTGTTTGTTTTTTTTTTTGATTTTTTTTTAACTTGTTTAAAAGTTCCCATAATAAGTCTCTGAGTTAGTCTACTATATTACGTCAGATATAGGATAGATGGCAGCTTTTCAAATATAATTGAGCATACAATCAAATGGACATGATGGCAGTTCTCTTTAGTGGATTTTATCCAATCCCAATATAGTAGATGATCTTTAATTTGATTGGATTAAAAAGTTTCTTTTTTTTTTCTTTGGATATAATTTATAATGAGTAGTATCAGCAAAGAGCCATAAATCATAAACTTGATAACCCATTCATAAATATACATATGTTTATGATATGAAACATTAATGTCTATTATAGAAACGATATAATAAATAATTTATAACATATTTTTGAATTAGTCAAATTGTATTGAGAATAAATGTGTTATAGTGATAATAGTACTAATTATTATCAACAATCTATCCAGATTAGTATTGGATGTATCGGTATATTATCATTCATTGCACATTTTATTGCATTCATTCTTTGGACTACTTATATTCTAGGTTGGAGAACAATAATAAAATGGAAATCTATACAACGTAAAAGACAACTAAATTATAATTTTATGACTACTAATCCATCTTGTACTATATTACAAACAATGACAAAAGTTACAACGACGACGACAACAGCGACAACAGCAGTAAATACACTAATCCATCGAAATGATATCAATACATCAGAACAAATACAATCTATGATAACACCAAAAAAAATTTTAATATGGCCTAATTGTTCATTAAGAATATCAATTCAAATTATTATATTATCCATGGAATTCATTAATATTATAGGATGTTGTACAGATTTAACACGTTTAATCTATTTATCAATGACTAGTAATGATTTGCGTTTATTAACCAATGATTGGTTATGTAGAATACAAATCTTTTTATCATTTATCTCATGTGATATATCTGGTTGGCATTTTGTATGTTTATGCATTGAACGTTGTTATATTATATTATTTCCAAGAAATTATTATAGTATCAATCGTACATCCATTAAACCAGCTTTAATTATGATTTTATTTATTTATTTTATAGGTATATTATCAAATCTATTTTTATTAATACCCAATTATCCTGTATGTAATGAACCATTTAAAAGTACATTAGTGAATACGATTAAATTTTCAATTACATTTATTATACCAGGATTCACTGTGATTATATCAACTGTATTAATGATTGTTGTATTAATTCATTGGAAATTAAAAAATATTAAATCAGACATCATAATAATAATAATAATAATAATAATAATAATAATAATAATAATGGTTTTAATCATCATCATCATAATAATAATACTAATAATAATAGTAGTAATAATACATCAGCTAGAATAACCGTAGCTAAAATGGTGTTAATCTGTGCAATTTTATATTTATTCATTTTATTTTGTTTATTTGTATTCGGTTCAATTTATGATGATTATTGTTGTTTTTTAGTAGCTAAAACAAATGATCATTGGATTGATAATTTATTTAATTTATTATCTATTCTCTATTGGTTTGTATTGACAATTACTAGTTATGTATTAATGTTAGGCACTATCACTGTACGTCATGATATAAAAACGATATTATTAATTATATGGTATAAGATATGGAAACGAAATTCATTCATTCATTAATTCATTATATAAATCGTTTGCTTTTTTTTTATTTAGCCAATTGCATTATTCATGTAGAATAATACAAAATATTGGAGAGTTGTTTTCTTTTTCAATACAAATTCATTTCGGATATTCTTCTCCTTTTTCTCCTTTTTTGTTGTTGTTGTGGTGGTGGTGGTAGTGGCGGTTGTTTTGTTTCATAAACTATCTATTCGAAATGTTTTATCTCGTTTGTTGTTGTTGTTTTTCTTTTCTTTTTTATTGAAATCTTTTTTTAATAGAAAATGAATAGAATAGATTACCATGTTATAACATACTGTTTATTTTGCCTAATTCTCATCCGTGTATCTTCATCTTATTGTTTATTTCTATATATGTATATATATTAGATGATAGTTTCATTTGAAGTAAATTTCTAATTCAATTATTCTATATCTTTAATTATGTTCTCATAATAAAATCAATATTCATTATGATTCGATGTTAAATTATTCATTTGATAAATATCTAGATGGATTTAGCTTCTTCAAACAATTTCTTTTTGTTTGTTTTTGTATAGTTTTCGATATGAAGGGGTTTTTGTGGATATTATAGCAATTTCAATAGTTGAGATTATGAGTTAATTGAAGCCAGACCACTATGGAAAACCTGGTAGCACTGGACATGCGTTTTGTCCTATTGTGGGACTCCTCAGCAATACGCATCCACGATGAGTCCCACAAAAGGGCGAAACGCCTATTCAGTGCTTCCAAGTTTTCCATAGTGGCCTAGCTTTAATTGACTCACGATCTCAACTATTGAAGTTTTAGATCTGTTTATAAGATAATAAAAAAATAAACTTCATATTAGTTGTGTGTTTTTATTTGGTAAAGGATTGAAAAAAACATATAAACCATTAACCATAAGAGGATGTTGATGATTCCTACCTGTCTAAATTGGAAACAAGTTTTCCATTAAAATAGGAATTTCAAAAAGTTAGACAAAACAAAATACGGATGAAATAGGTCCTCTATTTTTTTAGTTACTCCATCTTAAGATTCGAAATAAAGACATTTAATGGCTAAAACCAAATATATTTCATATATATATATATATATATATATATATATATATATATATATATATATATATATATATATTGCTCTATCCTGTTGTTATGGGTGATTTTCTTCGGGATGAACATATACACTTCAGTGGTTATCAAGAACATTGGTTAAATTTTATATGTATGCATTACACTTGAAATTCACTACATGGTCAATATTTCTATCAGAATACTCTCAATACATACATTATAGAACTAAAGCATTTATGTAAGCACGAATAAATTCAACCTGAAACAAAAAAATAATTTGAGACGACTTCCTGTTTTCTAAATTGATGTCTAAAACACGTTTAATTATAGGTGTAGGTAAATATTTTTTGGAAATAGTTATGAAACATAAGGTTATGTTATGTGTTTAATCTTTTATCAGGACAGAAAGGAAACTATAGAAAAAAAGTTAAAATACGGGTAATATATAAATTTACGGTTAAATTGTGTTCATTCTGTTTGTGCATCCAAGCTATATTCCTGCCTCATTTGATTGCTTTTTATATTACTACTTAATTATACTACTTATTAATATTCAATAGCCAATTTCAATATCGATCAATTTGAAGATATGATGCCTAACATACCATGTCTGTGAGGCGTAGTTACTATGTTTATATGAATCTATAGCATTCTATTTATTTATCGTTGTAGTGACTTTTTTTGGGAATTTTAATAGTAACCTCAAATTTCTTGATATTTATTAAACGTTTACTTGTGTTACTGTCTCTATTTTCTATGCTCATAACTGCCGTTTCCATTTTTGATAACCACTGTAAATTTGGATACAAGTACTATTAATTACTGAAATTATCGAATGCTTGTAAATAATCTTAATCCAACTATTTTAGGTAACATTCTTATTTGAACTATGTATATCAATTTGTGAAAACGCTACAAAAACCCCAAGAATTGATAGTCATAAACATTTTCTATGTATTTTCTGATTTGCAGATAAATTATTTTGTTGATGCGCACTGCTTAGGAGACTCATAGTAGGATGAAATGACCGTTCAGAGTTTCCAGGTTTTCACTTATGATCTAAGGTTGATTCACTCGGGATATCAATCTAAACTCTACAACCCTATAGTGATGAATTCTTCTGATTTGAACTCTGGAATTTCATCTGTAACTCAGTTGTTTGGTCATTTTGACATTTACTAGTCAGTAAGAGCCTACAGTACTTGAGGAATTAAGAGCAATTAAACATCTGTGATAAGATCGGTTCTGTTACGTAAATAGATAACAGCAACTAGCATGCAACACTTCAACATATGTCTGCTAACATTAAGAGAAGATGAATTGCAGGAAAATTTGTTATTCGAAATATAACAAACAAAACATGATGCAACTCTGTACAGATATTAATGAAGATATTATAATCAAGAAGACAGAAATTCAACAAACTATGAGCAATGACAACCAGTTCGGTAACAGCAAATTTTATTGCGGTTATAGTTGAAATCATCAAGGTTATCTTTTAGACAAAGATTTAACATGTAATGATGAATAGAACTAGACAACTGTCTTTTATTAGCAGTTCGATATATTAATTTAACAAAAAGGTTTTCTCCATTTTGATGATCTGAAAAACATCAACTGTCGTTGTTTTTTCTCTTACCTTATCGGAATTCAATGCCCATAAAATGAAGCATTAGTAATCTTAGTAACTTATTTCATCTAGTATGTTTAGTTTGCATCCACTAACAAATGTTATTTTAGATCTAATCAACAATAAATTCAAATAAGTTACGTCATAGAATAATATTGTTTTCGGTTAGATCCTTCATTAGGTTCAACTCTAATATACCGAATGAACAAATACGTTTATCTAACGAATTCATTTGTTCTTATGGTAAATATCTAACTCAAACTTACTATTGTGAGGTTAAGCGAATAACGATAATAGTAAGTGATCTATAGCTGATTGTTTGAAGAAAGACAATTCAAGTCAATGCGTAACTCTATATTATCCTATCTGATTAACATTACCAATGTAATAATTAAATGGAAAGCATTTACAGTCACTTATCATATTTCAGCATTTTTTCAGCATTAAAATGTATAACCTTAGTTGTTTTTTGTAAAATAGAAACAACTTCTTGATACTCCTTGTGATATGATCATCAAATTATTTACTTGATTAGAGTGTCAATAATCTATGATACTGATTTCTTTTGTAAAACATCTTCTGAATATGATCATAATTTACGGGACAATAATCGTACTAGTTATGTCTGTCAATCATAGACAGTTAGTTTTACGATCTTCGACATACATGTTTATTCAGTAAATTATTGATTAATTATTATCACGTAAGACGTAGTTTAATTTATGATAATTCGACAAATCATTACTGGAAATAAAGTATGTGAAAAGTCAGCATATTTAAGATAGAATTCTGATTTATTTTAATTATTGAACAAATTTTCATCTGTCATCTTTATGCTCTGAATTGCGTCCTGTGATTCACATGTTTAATAAGTCAGCACCAGTTATCTACCATTGTAGTGAACAAGAACACCAGTGGGGACAATCGGATGTATTTGACTCTAAATTACAGGACTTGTTAATAAAATCTAACAATCAAATAATTAGTACGTAATTTGCAAAATGTCCACCGATTGTCTCATAATGACTCAGACTTCATTGTTCTTGCATTTTCATACAAACTGCATCCTGTTTCCATTCTTTACTGTTCGATCCTCTTGTCTCTCTGCTGCCAGACCTTCTGTTCACGAGTAACGTAATATACTACTTATGTCAGTATAAGTAGCACACACCACACCATTATAACAAATGTCGATGTCGATGCTTCACCTGCATTAGTTTCGTCCTCTTATTTGCATAGAATAACTTACAGAGGACCCCTTTCTTCAATGTAATCAGTTGTTTGGAATAGCACTATCTTTCATTTTAAAGCGTTTAGTAGTAGTGGTAGTTCAACAGTCATAACACCTTTTCTTTACCATGTACATCAAACACCTGATACATGAATTTATTATTATTTATTCTCTGTTATTTATAATGAGAAATAAATTTAACCAGATTCTCCTTATGTATGTTCTCCTTCAACGAATAATTAAATATTTTGATTAGTGAATAAAAGTAAAATTAAAGATTCATGTTTCATCTCATTTAGTACACGTCAACCGAGAATACCTGTATTTGATTACTGATATATGCGCTCATTTATTTTGTTTATTTATTTGAACGCATAAATATTGATACGAAGGGGTACCGAATACATATGCGCCAGACAAGTCACTTGATTTGTGTGTGGACCATGATACTGCCAGTGTGCCCAAACCGAAGCAGGTGGTTTTCTTAAGGGACCACACTCGGGGCCTTCGACCTAAATGTCTGATTCACAAGGCAGTGGAGTGACGTCAGGAGATGCAGTCCCATGGTAGCCGGTGACCAACAATTGGTTCATACACTGTTTGGTTCCTTGAGATTCTGGGGCCCATTTGCACCACTAGTTTGGAATCAGGGTTTTCCAACTCCCCTAGGTGGATCCTCCATATATACACTCAAATAGTATCAGTCTTCTACTAATTAAATTTAGACCCTGAATCTCTAAGCGTAAATAAGATCTATTTTTAAATATACATTTTCTAAAATAATAATCCAAGAAATTAATAAATTTCACTTCTGTCTAACATGAAACTTTATACAGAAATCAAATAATTTATAAAGAGTTATCTATTTGTTTTGGCCAAACAAACTTGGCAAATACTAAGTTAAACATCACTTCCATTAAACACTAAAGCAATTTATTACAAAGCTTTAAATGGATCATATACTGTTTCTTGAATAACTGGTTTTAATCTTGTATTTCATATTTCTAACGTTGTTCACTTTATTACAATACACTAATCATCATATTTATTAGAAGATTTGTTTATATATTTTACACTGTACTAGACTATGAACTATATCGATTATATGAGAAGTAATTATTTTCTCTGACTGCTAAAAGTTAAGTGTTTGTGGCCAGTTTAGACATATAATACGTCATCTTTATAGTTTATATCAGGGATTGACTTTAGTTAAGCAGCCACTAAAACAATTCAACTATTATTATTATTATTAT